CTGACTAAAAAATTTCCTACGTGGCTAAAACCAAAACACCATTTTTTTATCCATTATTTCATAGTATTTTTGTTGGCGGGTCCTCCATGGAAAATAAGTTGTATGCGCTTCGAGAGCAAAAACCGAGAAGGGAAAACTATAACTAAAGTTTCTTTGAGTAGGGTTAATATATGCCATACGATAGCCGTGAAACATCAACTGCGATTTAATTATCGGTTGTTGGAAGAAATTGATTCAGAGTCCGTAGCAAAACCAGCCGAAAAATATACTACAATCTATAGCATCTCAGAATTTTTTTTTATTCAAAATTTACTTCCCCAAGATATGCGAAATTCGAAAAAAATTGTTCTAAAACACAATTTGAATATTGAAGGAAACAATGTATTAGTAGACTGTATTATAATGATTCCCAATGAATATGGACCAGAATTTTATTATGTTAAAAATATTATTTTCGAGGAAAGTAAATTCTTTGTAATATCGCATCACCTTTTAGATGTAAGTTTAGATAATCACACAAATTTATATGAAATACATTCGTTTGAATTTAGCTGGTCTGTATTAACGAATGAAGATTTGTATGGATTCACGGTATCTTATATTGCAAAAACCTGCGGAGGTAAAAATTTTATAATAAGAAATTGGTTTTAATTGTAAGACTTATCATCAAGAAAATAAATTACTGTTTCTGTAAGTTTCTTCAATTGTGTTACATTTATTCTTGTTCTTGATACTTCCATTTCAATAACCAATGAATTTGTTATTTTTTATTGATATTTTAAATCTATTTTAATTATTAATTATATCATCAATTCAAAAACTGCGCCTTTTTTAATCAAACATAACCTCTAATTTCGAGTTGGTTGAGTAATTGGAAATTTTACGGTGCTGTCCCGTAAAATTTACTAAGACTCAACCATACTTTTTACAAGCAACCCATTTATGTCCCAACATTACGGTGCGTCACTGTAATTTTTACTGGTACCATCTCCGCAATTTTTATAAGAAACTTCTTTCCGTGTGGTTTTACCCTATTAATTTTATTAATTTTATTTTACTTTCACATGATTATTATGTAATCCAAATTGATGCTGAGGTATTATATTTTATGTAATTTTTAAACTATTGTATTTTTTATTAAGATATGTGAAAGGATTAATATGAGTTAATTAAATTATATGAGAATATTTATTGACAAAGATTTAGTATGTCATCGACACACAGCATGATAGCTTGTAGTATACAATATCATTGATCGTTTGGTCTTTTATACAGCTTTTCTGCTGAGTTCCAGTTAGGCAACTCAGTACCTGTTGTATTCCAGGTCTTGCATCATACCTCTATGCATTACAATTATTTGGTATAACTTTAGTAGTATTCAAACATATTCACATACTTTTGATACGGCAGGAAATATACTGACAGGAAATATACAGAATAAAAGAAGTTCGAATAGATTTCCTGGTGTTGGAATTAATATTATTTTCTATATTTCCATTGAATGGTACATTACTGATTCAAGACATTCACTGATTCCTGCTCGGATCAAGTCGCTAAGCGTACCCCGGCTGGAGCTTTGCGCTGTATTGCTGTTGGTAAAATTGATTCTAGCAGCGATACCATATCTAATCCCTAATTGGATTTAGTTGCCTAATTGGAACTCAGCAGAGTCTTTTGCTGGTCAGACTCCGCAATGACTCTGGCTTGATTGAACCTTTGTGGCCAATCGAGTGAGTTCTCTTAGTGAGAAATCTACAGTTTTGTTCCCCAGGCAACGTGAAGTTAAACTAAGTCTAAAGATATCTCCTTCCGTCACCTCCGAGACTGCACGCTTTGGTGGTCTGGACCCGCCTGACTCCTCAAGGACTGGTCCACATGGAGCCCTCCCCCGCTGGAAAGCAGGGCTTCTGAACAAGTGCTGCTTCTCAATAGATGCGAAGTAACGTGCACAAGGCAGTGCGAGGATATACCCGGTGTATCTGATTCTAAGGACGCATGTTAGAATAATAGATGGCTCTCTTGCCCGCTTCATGGCTCAACCCTTCCAGGTCATTTTCGCGTACGGCTTAGACTATGCCGGATCATTTCCAATTCGGCACAGCAATGGACGCGGTATAAAATCCACCAAGGGATACGTAAAATATAAGCATCTCTGTTCGGATAACGAAGAGCTAATTTAGTTACTTCGTGCAATATAATTCATCGGCTCTGAAGATCTATGATCTTTTGTCAGCGCTTTAACTTATTTCGATATTTAGATCTTCACAAACACAAGCAATGTCTTTCAATACCAAGTTGCTAGATTTTCTTCCATCTCTGAATATAAAATATAGGTTAGGGCCGTTTTTAAGTTCTGCGTTAGTATTATTAGATCGAGTCAATGTATTGTCAAACTCTGTCAATGTTAATGTTGTGAAAGAGAAATTGATAGTTATATTGATATAAATATTAGTATTTATCAAAGAATACTCTTTTATCATTGACATTTAGTTCTTTAATGCATTTGATTACAAGTCGTTCGCAAAACTTCCGCTTATTTCTAGAATTATTGAGTATTTTATTAATGTATTATAACGGAGTAATCCGGCTGAAACCAATAAGACTGTCCATAGCTGTCCGTACGAAATATTTAAAGAGGGAATTCTGAAGTCACGAATACTTCCACGACTGAATAGTGTTTAGACGAAACTAAATTCGGAATACGGAGAGAGTCGGATTTGAAATACTGTGACACCAGCTTATTATTAGGGCATTTATTTATTAAATTATTCGATACCGATACATACATACAGCTAATTACTAAATCATAATTTCCTCATTAATACAAGAACTAAGTAGCCTCGTATTATTCATATAAGAAAAAAAAAACTAAATTTATAAAATTTATTTATACATGCGCGCGTGCGCAGGAAGGGATTGATGGCAATATTTCGTCGCATACTTAAAGGAAGGGCGCTCAAACATGCAGTGAGAGGGGGGGGAGCACGATATCGACTTAGTTCGAAGCTACTGTCATTCCTGACGCTGATCGTTGCCTTCCTTAATGACTTGCTGCTTCTCCGCTCTCGTTGTTCCTACTTGTCATTGCCTTTCACTTATTTCTAAAAAAATAAAGCCGCCTTACTTTGATTCGAATCACAATTTTTCGCCGCTCTCAACAATTGTTGTATGGGCATCGTTAACGCGCAATTTTTAATTCCGATTTTTCACACGCACTGGTGTCGGGAATACTAATAATATAGTAATATTACTTATGATGTAAGTAATAGTATCACAGGGCTGTACTATGCCGAATTATTGGGCCCATTTGGCGAAGAAAAAAGTGTTCTTCCACCATGACAACGCACCGGCTCACACCTCCGCCGTCGCCATGGCCAAATTAGTCGAATTAGGCTACGAACTGCTACCCTATCCACCGTATTCTCCAGATTTAGCCCCGTGCGACTTCTGTTTGTTTCCAAACTTGAAAAAGTCATTCGCCGGGCAGAAATTTGAGTCGAATGAGGAGGTAATCGCTGCCACGGAAGCCTACTTTTCAGACCTCGAGGAAACGTATTTTTCAGACAGGTTAAAGAAGTTGGAGCATCGCTGGGCCAAGTGTATCGAACTAAAAGGAGACTATGTTAAAAAATAAAATACCACTTTTCCAAAATTTTCGTTTTTCTTTTGTAGGCTAATTACTTATCGGACCACCCTCGTATATGCATCCGTCCATCCTGGCATGGCGCGCGAACATCGACGAAAGTCCAACGGAGAGCATTGGCTTAGCTGTAATTCTTCGTTACAGTATTTAATTTTGTAATGAACTATTAGATTTTTTTTGAACATGATATTATATATAATTAAGACATAAGTATGTGGTTCGATTTTCGATTGATACTAATTTGAATTCTGGTAGCAACGTGTTTGTCAGAGTACTGATTCTGTAACCAAGAGTTAATGTAACTGCTCGATTCTGAATATTTTGTAGTTTATTAATAAGTTCGACTTGAGATAAATAATAAATGAGTAACTGAACTAGACCTAATTGCCTCGTTGGTAGAAGTATTCCAGAGAAAATGTATGCCTCCACCAAGGCAGCGGATCCTTCCGTCCTTGCTTCCTAGAGTCCTTAGAATTTTTAAATCGATTTTGTTGTCTTGATTTTTTTTTGAGTTTAGTGTTGTCGAATTATTTCTGCGGAGTAAACAGTAAATAGAAAAAGATAGTGGACGCCTGCTACGTGAAAGTATTTTAGTGGTGGGAATCGTAAGTTGTAACAAACATTAGAGATACTGTAACGGCACAGCGTTCCATATCGTTACTTTCAGTGACGGCGCAACTTATTGTCAATTCGATTCAGCTGAATCGTTAGCCATATGGCCAAATGTAAATAAGATAATTAGTTGAAATACATACTTCAATTACTGCTTTCGGTAGACTGCTAATTAAAATTAGAGGAAGGTAGAAGAGGTATTCTTTTTGTGACTAAGGAGTTACGAGTTTAATTTCTAGTTTAGTTATTCTATAATTTAGTTGAAAGGATTTGTTATCACGTATTATTTCAGCTATGTGTCACGAAAATTCTGAGTATATGCTGCTTAAATTTTGTTAGAAATATGTATATAATAGAGAGATTGGGCAAAAATTACGCTCATTTGGACAAAATGCAAATTTTTGATCTAGCAATAACGATTTTACTACAGGGTATATAGTACTATAAGGTTTTCTAAAATATTAAAATGTGTATAAAAATAGTCAAAAAAATATGTCACTAAATGTAGAATGCTATATTAATATTTAAAATAACTTGAAGCTATGGATTCTTGTGTCGGTTGAACCTATGTGGAATAACAGGGTTGTTGTCTTAGTTCTAAAATAGCATTAAAATGATCTATTACAATGGAACATAAATGTTTTAAAGGTTCATTTTTGATATTCTTTATAATTCTCAAAAATGTATAGTTATTATTATATTTAATTTATTCTATATTATTTTATAATTTTTTTTAAATTTCCAGATGTTAGCAGTCAACAGAATTCGGGAATTGAATATCTTTCGGAAATACAATACTATGCTCTATCAAATCAAAAAAAATGTCATTATCGATCTACTGCAACGAGTCCTCTTCAACCTCTCACATTTAATGTGCAAAGTACATTAGATAATGTATGCTCTACCCGTCTTTATGACGAATTCGAAAGTGAAGATGATCTTGATAGAGAGGATATAAGTTTTAATCTAGACGCAGGTTAGTGTATATCATTTTATTTTTGTAACACATTTATTGTTTATATTCTTGAAAAATGCTATAAAATTAAATGGTTTATGAAACAGCATTGTTTAATCAATAGTAATTATATTTTGCAATACTCCATAATATTTTATTTCTAAACATTTTGTTGCTTTTTTTTAGTAGATTAAATATAATTTTTGTGACGGAAAATAAAGTGTTTCAGGCGAGTAACAAAATCTTCCAAAAAGATACTTGAAAACACAAAAAAGTGAACAGATCATTTATAGATGCTGAAAATAATGTACCATAACGTTTACAAAAGTGCTAAATTCGTATATGACGTCTTTGTTTTTTTAATTTGGTGCATATTCACAAATATATCAAAAATGAAAAAAAAAAAAAAGAATATTTGATTTCCAGTTTTGTAATCGCTGTGACTAAGCGAAAAATCGGAATATCATTTCCAAAATTATATGGCATATTCTTACACTAATTACTAATGCAGTGAAGTTCATCCGAAATTTGCAATACATTTTCTAGTCGGACAGGAAATTTTGGAAAATTTTTTACTCCTTATCTAGACTTTGTGTATATTTTTATCATTATTACTTTATTATTTATTGGAAAAAGTAAGTATCGATTACATAGGCCAACAGTTTTAAGAACCTGAAACTAGACACAAGTTATTTAATAGATTTTCATGCGCTGATTCCGAAACTGGGCTCAGAATTTCTCTATCACCCTTGGTTTTCCAGATATCTTAACCTAAAAGCGTCAAAAACACGCTTTTTTGCTATATTTGACCACCCGTATAAAGAATTTTTTTGTTTATTTCTGACCACAATTCCTAAAAGAGTAAATCTTGGGCTACAAAAAGGACTGTTCAAAATTAATTTTACAATTTTTTCAACGGAGATATGGTTGTTTGTAAAATGTTGAATTTGAACATTCTTCTATAGGCTTATAATAACACGAACTGTATATCGACTTGTGCAACAATTTCACAATATTATAAGACAAAATATGATAAAAGTTCCAAGATTATTACTACATCATAAAGAAATAAGATTAAATTTTGCTAGATTTAAACGAATGATAACTAGAAAATGGTAAATATATAAGATTTTTTAATCAAAAGTAAATTTTTAATTATTTATAATTTTGAAGGTAATTTTTTCTGATGAAAAGGAATTTCACCTTGATGGCCCAAATAATAATCATTTACTCTAGAAGGATTTACGTAAAGAATCCAAATACTCTTGGCAATTTTGGCGACGGAAGCTTGGTGGTGTGGGGAGCTTTCAGTTCCCTCGGAACATTGCCTTTGTCTTTTCCCTCATGTAAAATGAATTCTTCAGAGTATATGTCTGTATTACCAGACAATTTATTATCCTATCTGGACAATAATAAGCAATTAGAGCTAGTTTTTTAGCAAGACAATGCAGCGATACATGTAAGTCGAGAAACCAATACTTGATTTAACGATAATGACATTATATAATGAATCTTATGGAAAATTTTCGGGGCCTTCTATAGTACCATCCTTAGATAGCTTGTAGCTATAGTTTCAGCCCGATCGCCATGTTAGTTTAGATTTGAGAGCACCCTGAACAAGACGCCTCTGTATTTTTCTTAAAAATGGAAAAGCTGGGAAATCATGCTATCATCAAATATTTCTATTTAAAGGGGTTAAAGCCGAAGGAAATCAAAGAAGAGATGGACTCAACACTGGGGACATCCTCCCCATCATATTCAACCATTAAGCAGTGGGTTTCCGAGTTTAAAAAGGGTCGTATGAACACCTCTGATGAGCCTCGCTCAGGACGCCCTGTTGAGGTCACAACTCCAGATATGATCGAAAAAATCCATCAAATAGTGCTGGAAGACCGCAGATTAAAAGTGCGTGAGATAGCTGAGACCTGTAAGATGTCATATGAACGTGTGCAAAATATTTTGCATCAAATTTGCATATAGAAAAGCTCTGTGCAAGATGAGTGCCGCGTTTGCTAACAGTCGACCAAAAATTGATTCGAAAAAACATATCTACCGCCAATTTAGCGTTGTATAAGCTTAATCCAAGCGAATTTTTGCGTCGATTCGTAACCGTTGACGAAACTTGGGTCCACCACTACACCCCTGAAACCAAAGAATAGTCCAAACAGTGGATTGGACCAGGGGAACCAACTCCAAAGAAGGCAAAAACAATTTTTTCGGCGAACAAGGTTATGGCTACTGTTTTTTGGGATGCAAGAGGTATTATAAACATTGATTACCTTGAAAAGGGTGAAACTATCACTGATCAATACTACGTAGACTTATTGCAACGTTTGAGCCATGAGGTGAAAATTAAACGACCTCATCTGGCGAAGAAAAGAATCTTGTTTCATCACGATAACGCACCAGCGCACAAGTCCATCGTTGCGATGGCTAAAATCAATGATCTGAAGTTTGAATTAATGCCGCACACTCCCTATTCTCCAGACCTAGCCCCGAGTAACTATTATCTGTTTCCTAACCTCAAAAAATGGCTTGGCGGTAAGAGATTTGCGGACAATAAAGAAGTAATCGAAGCTGTAAATGGGTATTTTGAGGAGCTTGACGAATCATTCTATAGAGATGGCATTACTAGACTAGAACACCACTATGAGAAATGTATCAGCCTTGGAGGAGATTATGTTGAGAAATAAAAGAACAAATTCTTAAAAGCGTTGTTTTTCTTGGTCAGGCCGGAAACTTATCAATCCTCCCTCGTAGTTACTAGCACACTATTCAGCGCGCTCTCGCGCTCCTTTTTTAAATTGCTATAGAAAAGATATTCCTTTGAATTAAAATCGATATCTATATTTAATATTGTAATATAATTTTAATTTTTCAATAAGTTTGAATTGAAGTATTCTATAAAAATAATTCTTTGTAGACATAATTTTTTACTTTAAAATTGTTTCGTTGATTATTTCCAAAATAAATTTTTAGTGTATCCCACGATCGGATTCTAGACATTGCCACGTACAATTGTCCGTGATTAAAAACATCTCTACGAAGATCAATCGTAATGTTATCAAATGTCTGACCTTGCGCTTTATTAATTGTCATTGCAAAAGCTATTTTGATTGGGAATTGACGTCTTTTAAAAGTGAAAGGATATTCATTTGTACAAATAGATGTTATACGATTCAGAAAAATAATATCGTTTGATTTATCTGTTAAAACTTTACATTTGGAAAAATCTAAAATTCTTAAACGTGTACCGTTACATAAACCTTCATTAATGCTTATATTTCTAATAAGCATACCGATACAATTTTTTCTCAATTGTAGTTTATATGGTGGTAAACTGGAAGGATTCAAAGAATTTAAATATTCTGGTAAAAGAACTTCTTCTAAATCACCGTTATCACAATTATCTGTACTGTCAATAGCAGTGTAAATACGCTCTGACCTTATGTCGAATAGATTCATAACTTGCTTGTTTAGTTCATGGACGTCAACATTTCTAGCTGACAAAATAGCACATTTACTCAATATATAAATAACATTATCACTTGCATTTAGAACGCAATGATTAGGTAGGTTAATGTTGTCATCATGATCGTTAAGGGTTTCATCACCAACTAATAATAAATATCTCGCAAAATCAATCTCATTTGGTAAAACTCTCATGTTAGTAGTAAGATTTTATTTGACAAAATAATTCCATAATTCGTTATATTTAATAGAAAGATTCAGTGTTTCAGTGCGCGTTCCATGGCGTTTAATTGGAAGAAGCTGTCTAAAATCACCACCTAAAATTATAATTTTTCCACCAAAAGGCAAGTCATTATTCATTATGTTTTCTAATGTTCTATTGACAATTTGTAAAGCATATCTCGGTGCCATTGGTGCTTCATCCCAAATAAAAACTTTAGTATCTTTTAATAAGAGACCTTCTTTTGATTGTGCTGTGATATTTGATGATGAAATATTATGAATGGGAACTGGAAGACCGAATGTTTTATGTACTGTTTTTCCCTTTGGAAGTAAAAGTGCTGCTATTCCTGTGAAAGCCATTGAAGTTATCTTTACATTTTTTTAAGACAATAAGTTGTAAATAGTAGTATAAATAAAAGTTTTTCCAGAACCTCCCGGACCATTAATGTATATACAATTATTTACATGATAATTTTTGTCAGCTACTCTATTAAGAACAACATCGACTATTTCTTTCTGTTGCTCATTTAGTTTAGTTTAGTTTATTTATTTACAACTTATATGTTACATTTGGTTTACATTTCTTATATTACTATTTGTGTCTCGTATCCAGTTTCTGTAGTTGATTATGTACGTGTTTTGTGTGTGAGTGCGCGCGTGCGTGTGTGTGTGTGTGTGTGTTGTGTAAATATGTACATTTGTAGGTGTGTCTGCAACTCTTGTGTCCCTGTCTTCTGCGCCTGCCTGTTCCTCTTTTCTTCTCATTTTTCTTCTGATTAATCTTCTCTTCCTCTTTCTCACTCTAAGATCTGCCTTTTCCGCTCTTTTGTTTTTTTTTCTCTTTCTTGCATATTTTTTTTCAGCTTTTCCTTTATTACTCTCTTTTGCCTTTTCACCTTTGCCTTTCCTTTGCTTTTGCTCTCCTTCTTGCTAATCATTTCATCTATCTTTCTCCTTATTAAGGCTTTGACACCTTTTTCTTGTTTCCTATTGCTCCCTCTCCCTTTCCTTTCCTCAACCTCACTTATTTTTCCTTAGTATCTTATGATTTGTCTTCTAGTTTACCTTTTTCTTTCTCTTTTTCGATTCTTCTTCTTTTCCATTTTGCTCCATCCTCCAATACCTGCTTCCTCTCGCTTGTGTAGTTGCTGTTACTTGTGTCTTGTGTGTGTGTGTGTGCATGTGTATGTTTATGTTTGCGCGTATGTTCGTGTTTTGTGTGTATGTGTGTGTGTGTAGATGTGTCTGCGAGTCTTGCTTCTCTGTCTTCTGTTTCCGTCTCTCCTTAGGGTCATGCAGCTTCGTCTTCTTGCTTTTCTTTTTCTTTC